AAATGCATCCTTAGGCTATTTTACATTTAAGTACTAAAACATATGATATTCCACATAAAAATAATCTCTTTCTACGAAAAGGTAAAAAATAAACAAAACTTAATATGTCTTGTTTCAAAAAGTGTTAATCTGAACATTGTTTTAACAAGATTGATAACATTTTCTAATGCTATTCTGTATTTGTGTTCTTCATATAATACATCAAAAAACATAACAATGAGGGAAAAGTACATTTTACCTTTTTCTAACAATTATGCAAATCATCTTATTCATCGGATGTGAAATAGTTTCAGGGTTTCATTTCATTTTTGTTTTATATTTCAAAGTCACATCCCTCAATGAAGCACGTCTTTACCACTTTTATTCTTTTATTTAACTTAAAATAAGATTCTTTAACTAAATTCAAGATCTCAGTTAAACCATGATTATCTCAGCTTGATTAAAATTCGGTAAAATCCGGGATTTTCTCAGAAAATATACAGAAGGTCATTGACGAGAGACAATCCAGGTTTATCTCAAGAAATTAATAAAATTTATAATGTACCGTCAAAAAGGTGTGTCACATAATTTTTATTTGACAGAAATTTGTACTTTTCTTTTTGAATGTGAAAAATCAAACAAATATCAAGTAGTAACATTATTTCAACGATATTTTCAAGTTAACACATCCATTTGTGTAATTTGCTGATTAAATCATGGTAAAAAGTGAAAGTTGTTTATACGATGCCCTACATTTGTTTTCCACTTTTGAGACTTTTAATTCCATTTCAGTGAATTTTGTTTGTTTTGCTAAATTTCGAAAATGCCATTCAGTAATAGTTATTTGCAATTCTACCTGACAATAGCGGGATATGGGTACTTAGTCAAATCTTAACCGGAAGTTGTGATAATATTAAAAAACCGGCACAGATAAAAGAAAAAAAATGTCAAAAGGTTGTTGCTTTAATCAAATCTTTATTTGGGTAAGTAGATGCAGGTATACGATCTGTATTGTTTCTGAGACAACAAGAGGCAAATTATGTTTAAAAGAATATAGTATATTAATGTAAACACGTTAATTATGAGTTATGAACACCAAGAAGATTGTGAATTTTCTGAGTAGGTTTGAACAAATTTTAAACAAATATACTTATTTTGGGATAGCATGAGTTAGCAGTCACCATTCAATAGATTAACGACTGTTTGATATATTGATAATTTTGAATGTTGATAAAAACTGGAACTTGAATGCAGTGTCAATTACTGTAAAACAACTCATTTTCGCGCATCCTTTTTTTCGCGTTAAGTTTTTTTCTAACTAACTTTGCGCCAATTTATTTTCGCGATCTTAGCATTGTCTTGATATATTAATATAAGGGAACATCAAAATTTCACATATTCGCGACGATTTAAATTCGCGTTATTTTTCTGTTTGCGAAAGTCGCGAAATTAAATCGCTCGCGGAAATTAGTTGGTTTACAGTAGTTGTTTTGATGTGTCATGTGTATGCAAGAGTGACATCCCTTTGTACTATGTTGTAATTCAAACAAGTCTGGCGAATTGATGAAGGATTGTCTCCCTTGAATAAGTTTAATGGTTTCACTATTACATATAGTTGTTTGGTCGCATTTTAAATCATTACAAATTTATTAAAATCATTAAAATTTATTAGATTGTAGTATTCATAGTTCGTTCATAAAAGACATGTATTTATATTGATAAATTTATTTATTTGTTTTGAACCGAATAAAAATATTATATACCAATATATAAAACTTTCATTATTTCATAAATATTGTTTAGCTAAAAATTGGCTTACTAGGTATAGTCGTGTTAAAGTAGTAGTTTAGTTTTTTTTTTTTTAATTATATGTACATTATATAGAGGTATTACATTTGTTACATTGTTTCATCCCCAGTTATTCTGTTAACCAGGAATACACTATTTTAAGTTGTTGTCCACATCCCCGATATCGATTCTCCATCAGCATTGATCCTGCTACTTGGTAAAGCATACACTTTTTAAGAGATCGTGTTTATAACCGTGTCAAAATTCAAATGAAGAAGACGTATTGTCGTGATTTATTTTTTTTAATTTATTTCCTAAAGACATGTATCTGCATGTATGCTTTGTAAACCCCTCCTCCCACGAAAACACACACAATTACATTTAAAATAAATACAACAACAACATCTTTCTTTCTGAAACTTATGTAAAATGTGTAAATGAGAAGTTATGAAACCTACATTAAGCATTTGGACTTTTTTTCAAGACTATATATGATAAGCCAAATTTGATTTTCTTCCCATAAGAAGAAAATGTTGCAAAATTAACTAAGAGTAATCTTACATTGATCACAGAGGGTGGTAAGCACACAATTAATATTTGGAACATAATTAACTTTAAAACAATTGTCCATTGAAAATGAATGTTACGTTATTCAAATATAAGGACTAAGTTTGTCAAATCTACTAATTTCATTCGATATTGAGAATTTTATGTCATAGATAGAAATGCTAATTAATACTCTATATATATTTAATGAACTGAAGAGTATTTGATACATACATTGCATATTAGGCTTATTATTGACTGTTGTGCATGTATATTAGGTATGGGTAATTAAAAGTCTAATTTCCAACCACCTTTCATACTTAATTTAGTTGACCCTGATTTTCTGTGTATCTAATATCAACCTTGAACAATTTTGAACCACACTTTGAGCATGGCCGTCACCATCTTAAACGTATCAATGGTAACAATATATCGAATATAGATATAAGAAGATGTGGTATGAGTGCCAATGAGACAACTCTCCATCCAAGTCAAAATTTATAAAAGTAAACCATTATAGGTCAAAGTACGGTCTTCAACACGGAGCCTTGGCTCACACCGAACAGCAAGATATAAAGGGCCCCAAAAATTACTAGTGTAAAACCATTCAAACGGGAAAACCAATGCACATTAAACGAAAATAATATAGAAAAATAAGCACAATAAATACACTGTGAATATATAAGAAGAATTTCAAAAACTGCTGTCACAATTCAGACCGTGTTGCATTGCATTTTAAGTCAGCTGACCATTATATGAATAAATATGAAAATATCGCAATTTAATGGATTTGCAGACGTTTCTTTTTGGATAATAAATGTTCTTAACATCAAAAACAAAGAAGCTCTTTTCAAAGCAAAGGTTTTTTATCTAACATTTGTTTACTGATGGCGACGCTACAATTCGACAACACATGATCCCTCAAAATATATCGTTGTATACAACTAGGAAAAATACACTGAAACTTACACATAACAGATAATATTGTATTGAATCTTTCTGTTGAAAATCTCAAAGAGGATTTACGGATACCCTAAACAACCGATAGCATATAACCGCCTAGAACAGATCCAGACAACAGCAACAGAAAACAATTTTAAAAATATCATACCATATCAAATGCTTTTTGCATTTACTACAAATACACTGCATGTACTTCATACAGGTATGATGATGAAGAAAGCCTGACTTTCCTCAACCAAACATCGACTGCTGATTTACAAAGTAAATTGCACGAATTGTGAACAAAATCGTGGTCGTATTCAACACCGGAATGAAATTTCAGGAAGGTTTGTTAAAATAAGCATCGTGATCGAAAATTTTCATTTTTTCAGTTGTATGTAACTGTGATTTCATAAGTTCTATGCTACTAGATGCACTCTTTTTATTGCATTATTTTTGCCTCTACTGATAATGGTCGACTTATTGTTGATCAATTTTATACACGATTTAACATATTGCGTTTAAAAGTTTATCATTTCTGACTTCTGGAATTCACCCAGCCTTCTTTGGATATTTGTGTTGCTCAATATTTCCAATTATGGTATGATCTTTGATAACTATTGTTTGGGTATTGTATTCGGCTTTTTTTTCATTGCCACAATGTTGTCAGTCCTTATTTGAAGTAAATGAACCGTTATCTACTACTTATTTCTAATGGATATATTGTTGTTATACACATTTTTGGTGTATATTTGAATTGTTAATAGCTATCTTTATATAGAATGGACTGAAAACTAATATACGGTTTCTGGTTATGTCTATAATTGCTTGAATTTTGTTTTAAGAGACTATTTATGATATTAACGCTTATTTCATGGTTGTAAAATAAGCAAAGTGTTGGTACTGAATGAAAGATGTTATTATCTTTGTTAAGTGTGCATTGCATCATATTGTGATCACTAACCGTGAACTTCTTAAAGTATTTACTCTATTAACGACTGACAGACCTACACCCTTCTTACACGTACACCATGTAGTTTACCATAATTTATATACAAATTAAATACAAAATTAATTTTGCCGACTAGCCCGTCAAGTACTCAGGACGCCGGAATTTATTATAGATATACAACAAATATATAACAAATATTTCAAACATTGTTTTAGTAACCATCTATACATTTATTAATCACTGATCATTTACAAATAACTTAAGAAAGTTCCTCCCCGTATCAACGGCCAAGACACACTCAGGAAAAACCAGAGATAAAACCATATAGTATTTGATGGTCATAAAAGCTCTGGAAACCTGTGTTCTCTAGCAAATATATCTTTCGACAGACCGTCTCATAGAGACAACACGAGCACTTGCGTTGATAATGAACTTTCATTCCCAATCAAAATATACACTTATAATCTGTATAACATTTTAAAATTTAAATTCAGAAAATAAAAATTACACTACGCATACAACTTTGCGATATTAAATTTATTATCCAAAATGTAATTTTGATGTGTACGCTTCAAAGGACGGCTAGAAAGTGAGATACATTTACATGTATACCATTTACCTGTAATCAATTTTGATTACAAACAAATCCTGATTGGACAATACCTTTTTTACAAACCGTTAATACAGACATTTTTCCGCTATTACTAGCCGAAACGCGGGAAAATTCATGTATTTACTCTATTAACGACTAACAGACCTACACCCTTCTTACATGTACACCATGTATGTTTACCATAATTAATATACAAATTAAATACAAAATTAATTTTGACGACTAGCCCCTCAAGTACGCTAGAAAACTTACACATATAGGGTGAACCGGAACGAAAAGCAAAACATAATTACAACCCTAAATGCTTGGTCACTTGCAGCCTTTTTTCAACTGAATCTACAACGTAACCATCCTTGCTACTGTCACTTTTCCAACGACCGTGTCGTTTCTATACCCAATCATTGACATCCGAATTTACTGCAGCAGTAGCCCCACCTGACCGCATTGAATGCAATCCAAGCTTCGGGTCTTTTGAAACTAGTTTCAGTCTAGATATAATGCTTTCTCTGGCTGTAGTATAACTAAGCTTTTTGTTTTTATATATAAGTTTACAAATACTTTTAGAACGGAAAATCGGTCTAAAAAGGAAAAAATCTGATTCCAAATTGACACCTGAAAGATTTACATATCTCAGAAACATCTCATATAGACAAGCAACGGTATGCCCCTTGGAAATTAAAACCTCATTACCATTACGATACTGGTCGGTCTTACTCTTCACTATATACAAAATTAAATAATCTGATTTAACTTTAACATTTTTACACAAAAGAGAGCTAATCTCATCGTAACGCAAAAACACAGCAAAACACAGTAAAATCATCGCTAAATCACGAACCACAAGTAAATCTTGGCTATTTGAAAACATTCTGCACAATTGCAATAACATATCTAATGATATAGGGCCCTTCTTGTGCTTCTTAACGGTAGCCACTCTCTTAGCAGATTCTTGTAAAAAATGTAAATATGAATTTTTTGTTGGATCTGCAAAATTACTCATTTCATGCACCCATTTTATCCTTTAAATAGCAGAATTAATAGTGTTACATGTAGCACCCGAGTCAAGCAAATAAGTTATGTATAAAGCTATATGAACCGGCTGTGCTGGTAAAGCTTGAAAAACATGTTTTTTAATGAATGTTTCCCAACGTTTAAATGCATAAAAGTACCATTTTGCTGTGTTATCACTTCTACTGTTCACAATGTAACTGGACATATGTTCTGCATACGTGAAAAGTTCAGATTCCTCGTCTACGCAGGCATCTTTCACATCTTCCTTATTTTTTCACTCAAACCTATTCCTGGAAAACAGAAATGTAATCTATGATAATCTAACAACCTAAACTTCAACACGCATAGCAACGAAATAGAAATTTTGTTTAATCATACCAAAAATCCCGTTTCGCCCTCTTCCTCTATGAGTTATCATTGAACCCGGAAAGATCTGATGATAATTTTAACAAAATATTTAAATCCGTTACCCTCTGAAAAGACCGGCCAATAAGGAGCCGACTTCCATTCGGGTATAACTAGCGTACCAACTGCTCTATCTTTCAACATCTTTTTAACTGTTTCTGTAACTAACGAAGGTGGTGGGACTAACCAGTTATTTTCTTTATCCCTATGCTGTTTGAAAGCATCAACACCGCTCGTTCCCTGACACCAAAACTTGGAATTAAAGTTATCACATTTTTTGTTATGTGAAGCCGCAAAGCGATCTACTGTATGAGGACCCCATTCTCTATCAAGCATACGAAACAACCATGTTTGTACTCCCCAGTCATCGCAATCGTTCAACCTACTTAAAGTGTCTGCATGTGTATTATTTTCTCTCGGTATCCATTTCGCTAAAAACGAAACATTGCCTTGTTCACATGCATTTTGAATTTCCATGTTTATATCTTGCAAGTGAGTCTTTTTACTACATACCTTCAAAATAGTTTCAACATTTTTATTATCAGTATGTATTTTTACACTTTGCCCATTCAATGCAGGCAAATTAGTTTTCAAAACCCTATGAACAGCCTCAAGTTCTCTCCAAGTAGAACTCATGTTTGTTTCATGTGCATCCCATACACCAAACATTTCTACCGTTTTGCTGTTCCCTGCCTCATTAGCTATATATCCTCCATAGCCTTCACCTGAGGCATCCGAAAACATGTTTACATCACATGCTTTGTTTGTCAACTGACTAAATAATGCACCATCTGCATTTAACCTTTCTATATTTGATAACCAAACTCTAATTCTACCTCTGCTTCTGATGTAACCCAGACCGGTGCATCCCATGATGTTCTATCCTGAACACAGTCATAGGCATACCGACTCCTTAACCTTACAGTTGTACCCAACACACCCTGTGTAGATATTAACTGACCAATAACTGAAGCTAATAATTTTACTGATAACACACGTTTGTCTGGTAACCTGTTACATATGCAGGATATCCATTTTATTATCCTGTCAATTCACTCTTTTGTTATTCTAATTATACCTTCAGAAGTATCCCATACCATTCCCAAAAAAGTTATCACTTGGACCGGCTTCCAGCTACACTTTTCCTCAGCAATAATGAAACCAAAATCGATTAAATCTGCCTTTATTTTATGGCTAACCTAAGTGCATTCATCATAATTGTCAGCACCACCTAAACCGTCGTCAAGATACATAAGGATCCTGATATTGTTAGATCTCCAATACTTTATAACCTCTCTTAAGACTTTTGAAAATATAAAACCTGCTGTAGCCAAACCGAAACACAACACATTAAATATGTAAAATTTAGACTCCCATTGAAAACGCAAATATGTTCTGTCTTCTTGATGTACCATTATATGATGATAAGCAGACTTCATATCAAAAGTAAACAGATACTCACCCTTAGAAAACAATTTTCCTGCCACAGTTGCATCTTCATACTTATATCTAAATTGATATAAATGTGGGTTGTTGTGACGACAATCAAGCACTAATCTAAGTTTTGACTTGTTACCTGCAACCGTTAATGGATTTACAACCTTAGGCTTTTTACATACTCTTGATATACAACCCTTAGACAATAATTTCTCGATTTCATCTTTTAAATGATTTGTTGTCTTTGGCTGATATGTTATTATCTAATAAAACGTTCTCAGGTAAAGTTTTTAACGGTAACACATAACCTTTGTCAATAACATTTAAAATGTAATCACTTGCTTGGATGATTTTCCACTTGTTTATGTGTTTTTTCAAACTATTGACTGGTGATTTACTTGTATTAATCTTTATACATGAACTATCTACGTGTACTTCTAAATTACAACTATTAAAAGTATTAAGATTACTTATCTTATCATTTTTTCTTTGCTGTTGAAGCTCAGGACATTCCTGTTTCCAGTGCCCTTTCTCACTACAATTAAAACATCTGCCAGGTTTTCTTGCCATAGCTGCCTTTTCTGCTGGTTGAACATAGGGGTGTACTCGTCTAGATTTCTTCGTCTTTTCAGCCTTCGCTTTTCTTTCTGCTCTGTTCTCGGCCTTGTATAATTTCCTTTCCTCCTCCGAATCCTCTGCAAGTAGGTTGGTTTCGTATTCATGCACGACACGCCGGCCGAGCTCGGATGAATCAGCAATCCGTATTAACTTTTGCCTATAGTTCATGAAAGCCACACCTTCCGATAACTTTTCCTTGGCTTTGCATACGGTGTCTTGTGTAGGATTGTTGTCGTCTTAAAGACTGTCAGCTTCTTTCATTTTGCTCAGCACCTTCAAGTTTTGTTTGAACAGTTCTTCATTCCCTCGTTTCTTGAATTTGGGCCCATCCGTCAAAGAAGCTTCTATCTTCGAGACCTGTGTTTCTGCAATCTGTTGCTGCTGCACATGCATCTTACCCATTTCACTGGAAATAATTGACCTCATTTGATTCATCATGTCATTTTGAATTACCGTCAAAATATTCGAAACTTGAATTCGGATTTTCTCTTGAAGTTCGGCGTCCATTTTTGATGTGTACGCTTCAAAGGACGGTTAGAAAATGAGATACATTTACATGTATACCTATTACCTGTAATCAATTTTGATTTTGATATTACTAGCCGAAACGCGGTAAAATTCATTTGATCTCGAATGAAAATAAACACAACTGAAAAATAAACATTTACTTAACCTTTTCAAAATACATACATAAAGTGCCCTGGTATTGTGTAGTCTACTTATATTTTTCTCACATAATTGGGTTTTCAACGTTCATGCATTTTAAAATAATTGTTTTTCACAAATAAAACGATTTGTGTTGCTTGTATTCCCTGCACGCAAGATGATTAAATACAAAAATAATAATATACGTTATAATCTTCTATAGGTTCTTGACGCAAGGGAAGGTATGTCGGATTACTTCCATCTATCCATCTGTATGTCAAAATCTTTAGTTTCTTTAATCCAATCCAAAAATCAGCACCTGATCGCTTAGAAGTGTGACTTACTATAAAATTGTATTCCTCTTTCGAACGAATGATAACTAAACCTGCATCATTTTTCTTACAAAGGTTACGAGCTTCAGTAAAATAAGCCAGTGATAAACCAAATGAATAACAAGAATTCTTGTAATATATCCAATCACCTGGCCCACACCTTGGAATTATTTGCATTTTGCATATAAATCTGAACGACATAAAACAATTGTTGTCATTCCACTTTCGATAGTATGACTGTGCGCAGTTTTCGTTATCATTCGGTCCTGATGGTCCCCAATCAGTATGATTTAAAATCGTTCTGTCACTCCAGACATACCTCCCATTGTTTTGAACATTGCTGGCTGAGTCTTATCTACTTAAAAGTCTTTGTGAAACGTTCGTTTAGAAAATTGCTTGCCATTTCATTATCAAACACTAACAAGATCTCAGTTCCAATACTTCGACAACAGTCACGAGCCTGAAACCATGTTTGCCGTTCTAAAAACTCTTTATAACACCAACTACCGAGCGTCTTCTAGTCATTTGGACATTCTGTCCGAATTTCTGATATTCGGAAAACTGGGTTTTCATATCCGTTATTTTCACTTACTTCCGTCTTAATTTCAGATTGCCGGTAACCTGTGCTTTTATTTTCGTTCATTTTGCTTATTTTTGAAGGACTTTCCACTTTTCTATTGTATCGAGATTGTATTACAATGTACGTTAGTCCTGATGCCAATGCACATGCTAATACAAACGTATAGTAACAGTAGTGAACGCTATCCACAATTTTATTCGACATTTGTTATGAGCAATAACTGATGAATAGTTTTCATTTGAACTTGTTGGTTGTAAGTCGTCATAATTTCGATGATAATCTGAAATGGATGCAATATGTGTATATCCTCTATTGTCTAAGGTCTTTTGTATGTATCATATATGCTCTCCATTGTAATATCCATTTAACAGGCTTTATCGTCTACAATGACCGTTTTATTACAAAGTTTTACACAGTCGGATATAAATTAACATTTTATACACAACATTACGTTTTGTAATACCCTTCGGATTGTACTTTTTTTATGAATAGCGAGAAAACACAGATGACAAGTGAGGAAATCACTGATTTCATCAATTAAAACAAAATACCATTTCTATTTCCGTCACAATATATCTTATACTTTTCTTAAGTATCTGACATATGTTTTTCATTTGAGTTGTTTATAATTGGGGTTTTTTCGTTGTTGTTACAAATAGGAGATAATCCGATTTAAATCCTGTCTAATTTCAAATTACAAATGCATTAAACATAATATATTTGTAAAACAAAGCAAAAAAGATTAAACACAAGAGAGATCGAAATGTAGAACTCCAAATACACGCATATAGAATATTATACGTGCAGATTAGTAGATAGCAATTGGTAAGCGCCCAGGACGTCTGACACGGGACAGTCCTGGAATGATAACCTGGCCGATATTGAAAAAGTCATGTATTATTTTGCTTATCATATACTTCCTAATGAACGAATTCAACGAGGTTTATAACCAATAACTGACCACGTGATATTGAATGGGCTGACACGGGGTTATAAACCAGCAGGCTTTCGAACAGTTATTGAAAACAGTTATGTACACTTCGATTTCTTTGGTATATTAGACTTTTCTTGTTAATTCAGTAAATACCATTCATCTTTGGTTTTCCTGCAAATACAGACCTAGTCACATCTTTATTCAAAATATGATGAAATATATGTATAACATGCAAATACTACTCTTACAAACAACGTTATATTGTTGGGTCTTTCAAGTACTCAGCGAAACTTCTTTTTAAATTATAAACATCAATTTTATCAGCAATCAAAGCCGGGCTTCAAAGTTATTGTGAAACTACCTATTCTAGAGGTGGCGTGAATCAGATGCCGATACTTTAGAATTCCACATATCTTTTAGAGTACATACAATCTAAGAACCTTTCATCTTGCAATAGTATCAAAACATTTGACTTTTCTACACTTTACACAAGTATTCCCCTTACTAAACTAAAAAACAAATTGAAAGAGCTGGTCTTGCTAAGTCTCATGAAAAATAATAGCCAACGTAGATACAAGTATCTTGTCTAAGGGAGGGATAAATCGTACTTTGTAAAAAATCAGTCTGATTCAAACAAATAATTCTCTGAAACCGTAATTATCAGAATGCTTGATTTCTTGATTGACAACATATTTGTTACGTTTGGGGGACGTGTTTTTCAAAAAAAACAATCGGTATTCCCATGAGAACTAACTGTGCTCTTCGACTTGTTCCTTTATTCATAGGAAGCTGACTTCGTACAGGAACTTCTTAGGAAGAAAGAAAAGAGGTTAGCAGTATCGTTTAACTTTACTTTCCGCTATATAGATGATGTTCTCTCACGAAATAATTCAAAATTTAGTGACTATGTTGAACACATCTATCCCATCGAACTAGGATACAACAGATACAGTTAAGTCTGCCGCATATCTTGACATATATATAGAAATTGACAATGTGTGTCGTTTGAAAACAAGAAAAGAGATGATTTCAGCTTCCAAATTGTAAATTTTCAATTTTTATATAGCAATATTTCAACAGCGCCTGCATACGGAGTATATATCTCCCAGTTGATACGATATTCCAGGGCTTGTATTTCCTATCATGATTTCCTTGAAGGATTGCTGCTGACAAGAGGCTATAAAACCAAGAGTTCCAAGTGGTGAAGTTGAAATCATCCCTTCGTAAATTATACGGACGCCATCACGAGTTGGTTGACCGCTAAGGAATATCCGCTTCACAGATGACAACAGATATTTTCCAAACTACAATCCCGTCCCCGAATGTGACCTACCGAATTAGACTTATTACCAGGTGTGTACTAACATGAGCAACACGACGGGTGCCACATGTGGAGCAGAATCTGCTACACTACCGGAGCGTCTGAGATCACACAGTTTTTGATGGGGTTCGTGTTGCTCGGTCTTTAGTTTTCTATAGTGTTTTGTGTACTGTCTATAAAAAGGACCAACCAGCAAATTTAATAAGTAGCAAATCGTCTAGAGTAGACGATATTATGCAATAGGAAAAAAATAATAAAAGTCTAAAGATTTGCCCAACGGTACTAATATAAGATGGTAATATACGAAGATGGTGTTATAAAACTGTGTTGACAAATATTTCGACTGGACAAATAGCCTTCCTCAGTGTCAATAATTTAAACAATACTAGTTCTTTGTGTAAAATAGTTCAGTAATACAGGTAAATTTTGGACAACTGATTTAATCTCAAATCTTAAATAAAACAAAACTCAATATTCTATAAACGTGGCTGCGTATCTATACATGCCAAGTTGTCAAAATTCAGTAGTTTGTATAAATGTATGTAAAACAATAGAAGAGCCGTTCTAACAAACTGCTAGTACTTTCTGTTGATACATTATTGGTGAAGTACATTAAGTTCCTTTATCCAGAAAC